TAATCAATTACTTCAGTGTAACTTTCGAATTTCATGCAGCTGAAGCACTGAGCATACTTTAGAAGCTTTCAACGCAATGTTACGCTTGCCATCTAATAAAGAAGCATTTCGTCAAAGGGCATGTCGAAACATACTTGTCCACAAAAGCTGATCATATTGCCTGGAGCTTTTAACCAATCACAGTATGTGTTGTGAGCTTTGGTTTATTATTAGGTTTACCTGAATACGAAGCAGGAGATGTCTGTTTGCATGTTCTAGTCTCTTTTGTCTGTTTTCCAGCTCTTTTGCTTTTTGCTGCTCTTTCTGCAGTTTCTTAATATAATCCACTGAAGCTTTCAGGATGGTGCCCTTATTCCACCTCATGTCTCTGCAAAAACGAGATCCAGACGGTCACGCTGTAACTACTAAATTTATACATATTGGTATAGAATTGGCTGAATATATAAATACAGTATGTAATTGTAAACCAATGTTTATTTTTATTTTAATATACATTTTTGAGACTTACGGATCATTTGACCTGGGAATTAATGCCCCCAGCTCCTTAATTCTATCATTTATATTAAAACGCCGCCTCCTTTCAACTGCATGGATGGAAAAGTCAATAAAGATTAGACATTATTATTATTAATTTTATATTCTATTCTGTTATATTATAATTAGCATTTAAAATATACCCCAAAAAATGTTCATGCATACAAAGTAATGATCAGACTCACTGAGGTTGTGGTTGTCTTTCTTTTGTCTCTCTTTTGCCAAGGCTCTGACCTCTACTTCTGAAATGCATAATTATGTTAACTGAAACGACTTTCTTCTTAATTACTAAACTTCACAGTTTTAACATCAAAGCTATAAATCTTTCTATTACAGAGTTCACCGTTTCATCCCTAGTGCGTCAATGTATTCAAATGTGTTGCTGTGTGCTATAAAATGTTAAATTAAATGTAAAAATGTCATTATTTAAAAACTAAATACTTAAAAATGAAGTACAAGTGTGTGTGTGTGTGTGTGTGTGTGTGTGTG